TGACTTGACTCTCTAAAATTTGGTTTTTGGACCCCTCGAGTCATACATGGAACAATCATTTTTAGCCAAATTTGGCTCAAGAACATGCTCTTTCGTTGTGTTAATTTCATAATTTGGCTCTTTTAAACGAACTCTTGAACCCCCGCGAGCACATTGATGAAATCAATTCTTTGCTTTTGCTATTTTTAACCATGGAAAAATTCTGAAAAAATTCAACAATTCCGACCATTAAAGCCTCAGTTAAAGACTTGGTAGTGAGAGTTGATAACTCATCATTCCATTGGCGAATTTCCATATCAAGTTGATGAATTTCTCCAATTAAATGGTGTCTTTTTTCTTCCACCAAATAATATTGTAAGGGATGAAAGTTTATTTCATCAGAAAAATGGATCTCTTCTTGAAGATCCAAAATTTCTCTTTCACGCCAATATATTCATATTGACAAGTTCGAATGGCGAAATCCAAAATCGTTTGTCATTTCTTACACTTGGCTGTCCCACTGGGCGTGCCAAAAATATATTGTTGGCTTTTTGGCTTTTCGAAGGGTATTTTTGTAAATGCGAGCGTGCCAGCAAGGATCAATCAGTCCTTACAGAAATTATAATTGCCAACCAATTATCAGACGATTGTGTTTTAGTTCTTTTCAGCCCAATGAAGAGGACTTTTACTGGTGGCTTGACTTAGGAGAAATTAAGAGAAACAACAGTAATATCGAAAGAACAATTGAAGTATTTCATAAAAATGAACACTTACAATGGTCCAAACTCAGCCTCGGAGAGGTTTACAACAGCAATCTACTTGAATTTACTTGAAGCTACTCCTATGAATCGAAGTGCAGTGCTGGTATTTAAAGTGCAGGTATTTAAAGAACAGGTATTTAAGGACTGGAAATGTAAATGACTGGAAATGAAAATATATGAAGTAAATGACTGATTTGTATGATCTGAGTCCGTCCTTTTTCCTGGGGCTGCCCTGCTATTTATACTTGTCAGTGATGACCTTCGAACTGCACTTCGAACTGTCGAACTGCTCCTCCATGATCGCTGGTCATGCTCCCTTACAAGTAGCTCCATTACGCCATTACTGGCAGTTGAGCTTCCCTCTTGTACTTGGATTTGAATATGAGTAACCGTTGAAGACACGTCATCTTGCATCCCGTTATTGCTCTAGTGTTACTCAGATCATGTGAGGACCAATATTTATTGCCACGTGTACGATCAGGATTGAAGGCTTGAATAACCTTCCTTTATTACCCTTATTCTGCCACGTGTCGAACTGTAACTGGCTTTTACAAAATATGTAGCCAACATTACCCCCCGCACTAATATACCCAATACTTGGTGATATTAGTGGATTACAGTTTTTTCCGCGCCTCTAGAACGTGTATGGAGTCCATATTCTGGAAACACAACCGTCATCCATTTGGAGGTCATCTGCATTAACTCGTCGAACATCCCAATACCTTAGTATTCGAACAGGCTATGGCTGCATCAACTTCCCTTCCCATTGATCAAGCATATGAAGAGCCTTCGAGTGGTGTTGTTCCCCCTCGAAAGAATCTCCACGCATTCATTAGCCACCTTTACCCGCCCTTCTATATTCAGGTAATGGAGGCTTTTGCAGATTATAAACCTTTGGACTATGAACACATTGCCTTTAATCCCTTGGTTTACAAACTTACAGATACAAAGAGTTCTTCCCCTAAGCTCCCTTTGTATTCTGACCGAACTACCCTCGAGCCTTTGCTTCGACAAGTTGCAAATATGGATCTAGGAAACTCTTCTTCACAGACCTATGCATGGGATGAAACTGTGACCTCTTCATCCTCTGGGGCTTCTGGCTGGACAAGCTGGTCAACTCCTGAGACTTATGATTTAAAGGAGCGAATCAATCACCATTTTGTTGAGTTTACTGATCCCTTGGAGTTTCCCTCCTATGCTCGAAGCTCAGTGGTCTATCCTTACGTGCCCATTGACCTTCGACGTAGCTTGGAGGAGAATCTGCTTGTGGCTTGGTATACTTCTTCCATGCCTACAAAGATAATGCACCCTGCCCAATGTCCAGAAGAAGCACAAGGGTACACCCCTTCATTCTTAGCCAAGAAAGCGAAGATTTGTTCTTCTGATTGGCTTGATTACATTAATGCCTTTGTTCCTCCTGCTTCCGTGCCATCTCCCATGATAGAAGCATCCACACCTTCTTCTGCATCTCCTGAGATAGAAACACCTGCTCCTTCCCCTTTGTCTTCTGAAGCAGAATCTTCTCCTTCTCCTTCTCCCATCCTTTCCTGGACAGAAAAGCTAAGACTTGCCCTTCCAATGGACAAGGTTTTTCCATCTTACCAACCTCCGTCACCCCCTTCTTCAGCCGAGCGAAAACAAGCTCAACTTTTGCTCGCGGCTTTCTCCCATCTGCCCTTCAATGTTCTTGAGGATGACATTCCTCTTAAGAACTTTCAATGGGCTTGTGATATCTTGACTAGAGGTCATGTTCTCAATCCTATCGCCCAGGCGGAGCTTCATTTGTTTTTGGACCAACTCCCAGTACTCCTCTACTGGCATCAGAATTCTAAGATCACCATCCAAAATCTGGATGAACTTTCATCTCTCCGAATTCATGCTCAGTATGAAGCAGAGAATTTCATCGAAGAGTTCGATGACTTCAGGAATAAAGATTCTACGTACTGGGATGATTTGGTTATAGATGAATTGGAACAAAAATCGAGGGAAGAGGCTTTCGAAGCAAAGGCTGAAGAACTCTATTATGAAGTGAGAGCTCATCAGCTTATGCAACCAACTTTAGAAGAGATAGAAGAAATAATCAAGAAAGAACAGAAATTTATTGACCATTGCTGGACAAAATTTCATGACCTTGTTATTTATTCTATTCCTTATTTTTATGAGCTTGAATTTGTACCCAGATAGGGTTATTTAATGTAATCATCTTGGCTTCAATATAAACAAAGTCTTTTTGTACTCAACACTGTTTGACTCTGTTTCCTTTCATCTCTAAAAGCTAACTCATAACTTCGAATTGAACAATCTCATCCTTCGAATCAACTGTTTAATGAAGAACTAAAAGAACCAATCATGTCCTTTTCCAATTCATGGAGTAAAATTGACAATTCTGGCAGATATTATTTTAGTACTTCGATTTCAATGACTTTACTTTTTCAACACTAACTGTAACCAATATATGGTCATGGTTGATATAGCCAATCAATTTTAAACTGATCTCTTTTGGCTTCGAAGGGCAACCTATGGCAATTCCCTCTTGCTCATACAGAAACCAATGATTGGTCTTGGATGCTTCGAACAGTGCCCCTCTTCCTTAAAGAGTCCTAGAGTTTGCTTCGAATGTCGTCATTTTGACTGATAACCTTCAAACGGGTCTTTGGATTTTTGAAGTTAGACCAATACTCTGAGCATTCAGGCATTTTTAAACATGTAGTATGCTCTGAACAACGTTTCTCATACTCAGAGAATACTAGAGTTTGCCCCGAAGGTCGTTACTTTGATTTATAACCCCTAAACAGACCCATAATCAAGCAATTTAGCACCTTTAAGCATATACTAGGCTTCGAAGCCGGCTTATGTATTTCGAAGCCGTTGTTATTTGATTTTTTGGCGCCAACATCTTGTCTTCGAAGCCAAATATTTCATTTTGAAGCTGGCCCCAATCCCGGAATAAGCTCTTCCCTCCAAAACTATCAATTTGGAAGAAATTCCTCACATTCGTACTTTTAGTACTTAACGACTTACGGGGTATAATTTCGGACACAAAGGTTTTAAAACCCTCTCGTTTTGTGTTCCGAAAACTCTTGCCTTTTTCAAACCCTTCTCTCTACTGGTTTTTCTGATCTTCTTTGCTCTTCTTTTGCTTTCTACCAATGGATCCCTCCTCTCTAAAAGTACTTGCTGGCGACCAAATCAGTCCAACCATGGCTTTGAAACATTGTATTGATGAAGAAATCAGCAAGCTGACATCTGGTGAGTCAAGTAACATCGATGGTCGTCTTTTCGTTCCTCGCCACAGCAACAAACAGGAGTACATCCTGGGTCCTATCTTCCGGGAGGTTCCTGCTCAACTCCCAGCTCTGTACCCTCGTTTGGAGGACCATTTCCTTCTCTACGAAGAAAAGCTTGATTGGGGGAATTGGAGGGTAAATCGTCCTCATCGTTGCTGGCCGACATTGAGGACTGAATGGGAGGAATGGTATGACAGAGTGGTGCCTGCGAGAGAAGATGACCTGCAAGAGCTTTATATCCTCGATGCCCTTCGACTTTCCAGGTTCATTATTCCTGAAGACCCCTTTTTGATTCCTACTGCCTTATGTTTTTGGAATATGGCTTTCAATTTCTTCCAGTTTCGGTGCGGTATGATGGCCCCCACCGTTCTTGATATTTGCCATCTCCTAGGGCTTTCACCCCATGGTTCTCCTTTTACTCCCAACTATCCAGACCTTCCTATCAAATTTTCTCTTCCAGCCCTAAGCTCTTCTTATAGTGACTTCGTAAAGGCTGAAAATAAGAGAGAAGGTCCTGTGCGGGACAGAGAATTCTTCTCCTTCATATTATACTGGTTATGCAAATTCCTCTTTTGCACCTCATCTCAGAGGATTATGCCTGAGTTTGCTCCACTTGCGAAGGCACTCGTCTTGAAGAAACATATCGCTCTTGCTCCTTATCTTCTAGGTCATGTCTACAGAACCTGCTCCCAATTTTGCGAAAAACCCCTCGATGCTAACCAAGGAGGTCCCCTCTGGGTGCTCCAACTCTGGCTCTTTGCTTATTTCACTGACCTACATCCCAAGTGTGTAGGATTCCTTGTTCAGGATCCTAGTACCTACGGGGAAAAATATGCTAGGATTGCCCTTTACCCTGCTTCCTTTGCTTATTACTTCACCTTCTTTTATCAACTTCCTATCTCTCCATCTGCTTCCTTCTTTTGTCCTTTCGAAGCCAATAGAGGGCCAACCTGGCTGAACTGTTTATTGGGACCACCAACCCCAGAGCCTATAAATGCATAGCTGAGCCTTATTGTCCTGCTCAATTTGCTAGACAATTTGGCCTCACACAAGGAGTTCCAATACCTCTCTGCAGCAACACCAACCTAACTCTGACCAAGAGGGATTTGAAGGTTCGAAAGTCAAGGCTAGAAGAGGCAACCTTCAAGTTTATGGATGATCTGGCCACTTTTGAGTATATCCCTTTCATACCTCATGGCTCCTTTTTGAAGAGATATCAGAGTTGGTGGGTAAGTAATATGGAAGTTTATTTAGTTGAAGGTAATCAGAAACAAAAGAAACAGAGACTGCTTGAACCTTTGCTGAGAAGAAAAAAGGCGATTGATTTGCCCCAAGAAGAGACAACCATTAGGAAAGTAGAGGAGGAGATTATTTTTAATGGATCCGAACCTCAGGCTAAAGGAGCTGAGAAAACAATTGAGGGGCAGACAAAGCCAATTCAAAGAAAAAGGAGAAGAAAGATTACTGTCTCTCCTCCTGAGTTTGATATCTCCCCTTCCAGCTTTGATGAGGATTCTGATTCGGAGACAATTGCCCAAGCCATAGGAAAGAGAAGAAAAATGACTGCTTCAACTACTGCTTTGGTTGAAGATCCCCTTCATGAGGCAGCCGCCAAGGCCGTGGAACAAGAACATTCCAAAGCCATAGTCGTCTTTGAAAGGGCTGAGAAAAGACGGCAACAACAAATTTTAAGAGAGAGAGCTGCTGCTGCCAATGCATTGCAAAGGGAACTAGCCAGACAACAACGGTCTGCTGGACACTATTCTCTCCGCAGTTCTCCCATCAGTACCAGTGCCTCTGGAACAAGTAATTTCTTTCATACCTCTGCTGTTTTTTACTTTGTCAGCTTGTAGTATTGAAGTTTAACATTGTTCTGCATTTTTTCCTTTTACAGCGACAACTACTGCCCTCACCTTTCCAATGAGACCTTCCTTAATTTCGGTTGAGGTTGACCAAATGCAGAATGTCAGGGTTGTTCGAGTCGTGCTTCCACTTCAAAAGCCTATATTTGTCATACCTACTTTAGACTCCAGTATTCCTGCATCTCCTTTTCTTGGATTAAAGCCATACCTCCCTTTTTTGGCTCGTAACCTACCTCAATCTACTTTTCCTTCGAGCCTTGCTCTTTCTCCATCCTTTATAGAAACTCCAACTGCTACTCCATCCCCAATGGCAGTTGATTCTTCCACAGAAGACACTGGTAGCCCTTCAATTCATGGTTCATTACCAATGCCCACTTCCAGTCCCTCTTCTCTTGATTTGCTGGTGGCCAAGACCATAGAGGCTGCCAAAGATGCTCCATCTGTTTCTCCCATCCCTATGCAGCCCTCTGCGTCTTCCACCACAACACTCTCTATGCCCTTCATGTCAAGGGAGGAGGTAGACATTTTTGAAGGAAGACTAGCTAGTCTCTTTGACATACTTTCTACTTCTCCCACCTCTACTGCTGAAGCTGAGCCATTAGCCTTGGCTAACTCCTTATTGGAAATCTTCGAGAGTTCTCCTTCCTCCAGTAACAAGCCTTTTGTACCTTCAGTAGATTCGGACACATGCTTGCAACTGCTGACTTCCTTTTCAAGGATCCCCTTCGAGGTCGTTCGTGACAAAGGCCTTTATCACAAGGGAATAGGCTGCGGTCAATGCAAGTGTAACATGCCGAGCAGTCTGCCATGAGTGTCTCAAGTCATTTATCTCAGGCTGCAGCTACTATTGATTTTTATTCAAAAAACATTTGCCATGCTGCTAGGCTGCGGATGATAAAGCTGGTTCTTTAAGGAGCGCAAGAGCTTTGTTTCTCAAGTGACGTACCGACAAGTATCATCTTGAATAGAACAACACTGCTTTGCTTCCCACTTTTCGAGTCCAACTGTCTGGAGGAACAGAGCTCAGCTGCGAGAGTAGTTAGCCGCGGAAACCAGCCTTGGTATCGAAGCTGATATAGAAACCTGCACATCACCAATCAGGACATAATAATCGAAAAGACACTGAGCTCATCACGGACATTATTTATTCCTTCCTTAGCAATAGAAGTAAATATGTATCAAAAACAAACACCCTAACAGCCATTGTGAATGATTTTTGGCGGCCCAATTGGGGGCGCACCACGATCCTACTAATTCTTTATGAAAAGCCAGAGTCATTTTTGCAAATTACTCAATTGAAACCAAGCTTGGTTATTTTTCATTTTATCGGTGTTCACTCCTATCCTTGTGTTCTCCCAAATGCGTTGGAAAAATAAGCCTTTTATAAACTTTCTGCCATTGAGATTTTTTTTGAGAACGTCTCATTCCTCCTTCTGTACTCACTCTAACTCCATTCTGCCTAAATTCTTCTCTAAATGTATGCTCCAAAAAAGGCAGACCCTATGGATTTGAGTATTTTCCTTCGGCCACACCTCCTACAGAAATGTGACCAATTTGCCAATACTATGGTTGCTGTTTAATCCCATATGGTGAGTTCATTGATGCTTCCATACACGCAAAAGCTCACCTTCATCAGATTACGCAATGGTGTTTGACTTTCTTATTATAATTCAGTCGGCTGCTTTCTTTTTTGGCGAAAAGAAGCTATTTAATGCCAAAATTCTTGAGCCTTCAGTCTTCCTTCTAATTTCTAAAGCAACATACTTTTTGATGGTTATTGTTCAGGAATTCAATTGATCTTGAACATTTTTCTTACTCATCAAAAGATTTAAACATTCCTTAATCTCTATTTCTCGTAAGATCATGCTCATCATGTCCATACTACAAAAGGGCACTATCGGGAGGTCGACTCCTGTTGCTATGACCTCGGCTGGAGGTCCATATATGAGACCCCACGTAACATGTCTCATTAATAAGTGAGTGGTTATGCCTAATACCCTGGATATGTCAAATCCAAAAAACCTTTGAGTAGTTACCTCTAGTTTCTTTCCAAAGGACTCTATCTTGGATGGACTCCCAGCCTGGGATCCTATGTATAGCTCTGGGGGTGCATCAAGGTTAGTGTGTTGAGATCTAACAATGGCCGTGTAATTCCAAATTCTGCCACTACCAAAGCCCCGGGCACAATGGGCTTTTCAGCCACCATTCCTCCCATCACACGACTAGTGATTCTTCCTATTATGCCAGTTCTGTTGTGGGTTTTGCGTTGATCACACTCATGGTAGTAGAGATGTACCTCAAGTCTTTCATTATAAAGAACCATCATAAGGGTTCTGTTTGGCTCTACGTAGCCTTCGTTATGGTTAGCTTCCGACCCCAATTGGAGTGAAGTATTCCAGTAGGCCACTTAGATGAACAATGATGCCTAATCGAAGGAAGGTGGGTGGTTAGATTTTCCTATTCAGATCCTATTCTGGCCCACCCTCTTTAAATGGCCAAGGCTTTCACTACTGCATGTAGGTCAGTTTATTTGGCACGTGCCTTATATGTGGGCCATGCTTTTGACGATTGCCTGTACTTACCCCCTTTGCAATCTATTCTATGCAACTTTAAAGGATGGTTGGCCAATAATGGAATGCTTCGAAGCAACCATCTCATTTTTGATCCACTCAGGTTGATGAGGCACCCTATTCAAGATGCCTCTTTGTAACCTTCTTAGCCATGGCTGTTAGATTGTTTCTTTTCGGGCCTTGAGATCGAGTCTAGTTCTGCATAATTGAAAAGCCATCTCCCCCCACTTATTGTAGAGAGCCATTACCCATTTAACTATGTTTATTTTTATGCATAGACTGTCAGTTAACTTACTTTCACTGGTCCTTCGAATGATGGACCAGCCAAGTAGCTGCATTCTCTCGCGATGCTCCAGGTTCTTGTATCTTGTAAGTCTTTGATGTGACTGTCCAAGATTCTAGCTATTCCTTTGATTCAAAGGCTGGTATTAATCTTACTGATTAACGTCTCTAGATTCTGGCTTATGTCCTGTGTAAGGTGTATTATCACTTCCCTTGACGTTCGAAGCCTTTTGAGCACTACATCCTACTCTCGCTCTACTGTTCTACAAGAATCTTGAATCATGGGGTTACATTTGTGGCTATTTGGGATATACTGAGAAAGCAGCAATTGTAATGCAACTCAATCAGTAATAGTAGAAAATAGTATATGATTATGGCAGGATTATCTATATGCTTTGACACTTTGAAAATCCCTGTTACACATTTGGTGAACACATCACATGAGATAATTCTCGTCCCATAATATCTGTTCCAACTGACAGATTTGTACTATTGTAATCACCAAGCTAAGTGAGCGTCAGTTAGTCCCCAAATTAATATGCTATAATTATTACAGCTTTGGGTGTGATTGGAACAGGTTTAGCTTCATCCACTCTTGAAAAACCTCAATCTTGATAGTGTCAACCCATGTAGGAGAAATGTGTGAAAATAAATAAATAACAGAAAAATGTCAATTAGAACCGCCATTCTAGACGTTCCTCGACCAATACGATATCCAAACAGTCATGACATCCTTTCATATGCCACATTGTGTACTCTTCCCTTCAAGCTTACCCCTGCTCATTTACAAACGCTTACTCCGAGTAAATTGAGTCTGACGTAGGGAGGCCGCCTGCGTCTGTATGTTGAGATAGGATGATCTGCCAAGAAAATAGTCTGCCGGCTGGAGAGAAGCAGCTGCCCGGCATTGCGTTACTACCCTGTGCTGAGGGACAATGACTTTCTAGAGTTGAGAGATATTCCTGATAAGCAATCTAATCAATGTGCCAAGTTCTCCCCTCAACATTGGCTAGATAAAATATATTTAACCAAATCTGTGGTGCAATTACCAAGACATGTAGGCTCACAAAGATAGTTATCTCAAATGTTTACACTAGGCATTCAACACATAGCAAGCAGAAAGGGCATAACGATTCGTGTATAATGCAACAGTCTGAGAGGGTTTTTGAGTATTTACATGTTCACAAGTGGAATATGTATAAGAAAGAACCTTACGTGAAGTTAAATAGATTGTTAACCAGGACTTTGTACGTGCCTTGCCTTCTACAATGTCTGGGCCAAGAAAGCTTCCACACTCTCTATCTGCTGCAGCTATGTACAACTTTTCAAAGAGGTGTGATGTTACCCTTATTTAACTTCTAATTTGAGAGTGGTTTAGGACTTGATCGAGGGCAATGGAGTGGAGGTGAAGCGCAAGTGAGCGAATAGTACCTTCACGGATAAGCACAGATTTGATGGCGCGTAGCTGTTGTTATGCCACCACAACATCTTCTACTCTCAATTGATTCAGAACTCTAACACAAGTCGAAGACAAATACTTATATCTCTTATTCCACCATAGCAGTATCTCTAAGTGAGCAATATTAAGAAGCA